TAAAAAATATCGATAAGTACGCCACAAATATTTCCAAAGCGCAAAAAACCCTCCTAATCCACACCACAAATCTGCTAAAGTATACCAGAAATATCACAAAGCATACCAGAAACATTCTAAAGCACACCATAAATTTTTTAATGCAGACCATAAATCTCCTTAAACAGACTAGAAACACCACAAAGCAAATCGCACATATTTCTAAAGCACACCAGAAACCTCCTAATGCATACATTAAATCTCCTGAACCACACCACAAATCACATAAAGCATACCAGAAACACCACAAAGCAAACCATATAATATTTCTAAAGCACACCAAAAACCTCATAATGCATACCTTAAATCTAATGAACCACACCACAAATCACCTAAACACAGACAAAAACACCACAAAACAAACCATAAATATTTCTAAAGCACACCAGAAACCTCTTAATGCGAACCAAAAATCTGCTGAACCACACCACAAATCACCTAAAGCAAACCAGAAACACCATAAAGCAAACCATAAATATTTCTAAAGCACAACATAAACCTCTTATGCAAACCAAAAATACGATAAAACAAACCACAAAAGGCAGGCCAAAAAGATGATAAACCAAACCACAAATCTCATAACGCGTACCACAAAATTCGACCACTAATCGAACTCGAGCGATTGATGACCATTATATCATAGTGCGCGACATTTTCACGTGTGTCATGACATTATCATGGATACGAACAAGATAATTAAAAAAAAACTTGAATTCCAACTTAGTAGTTGGGGTCAAGACTAATTTGTACATTTAGATAGATTATCTGGTTTACTACCCACAAAATTAATTGTGATTGGCTTGGTCACATTTATTTTCCATGGGAGAATCACATTTATTATTTTTCAAACTTATTCATCTTCCATTTTTTTTTTATAAAAATTTAACTTGCACGTGAACTAGCACTGGAAAAAGGAATTGGTTGCTTTTTTAGTTTTTACCCCTTTACCTGTTTGCTTTCCGAGGCGGACAATAATTAGAGTTTAAAAATAATAATTGTTCATTTAAATGATGTGCCATGTGCACTGCACGCGGAATGCAAAGATAGTAAAAGGCGTCAGTCATATTTTTGTAATGACCATCATGTCCTTTTTTAATTTTACACGGGTCAACTTAAGTTATTAAAAAGTAAACACAACCTTGAGTTTCTATTGGCTGGACCCTTATGTTGTTATCATAACAGCATATAAGGTGTTGTCATCATATCTGGTCCCAGGGATAAGAGAAAGCACGATAAACTATTGTCCCATCTATGCTTAAAAAAATTGAAAGATTAAGTTAAAATAAAGAGGAAACAAGCCAATTAAAAATAGCAGGAAAAGTGAAAAAAATGTTTTTATTTCACTCAAATTTTACATCACTCAAAACCATGGTTGTCACGCCGGCCGGCGTGCCACTGGTTGAACCTGGTTCAACCTATACCGGTCATAAAACCGGTATGACATCACCGGTATGACCGGCATGATCGATATACGAATCTCCAAATAAAATGATCTTATCTTAGTGAACTTAATTGATAAAAAGTCATTTATTATTTATTTTATGTGTTAAAAAGTTAAATGTTGATGTTATTTGTTGGATTCAAGTACAAATATTTAGGTATTGACGTTAAATGTCGTGTTTAAATATGAGTATTTGTAAATTATTTGTAATATTAACCGGCATGAACCGGCACAAACCGGTATGTACCACCGGTCGAACCATTCCACCTGCTAAACCGGCACACTGGCACAAACCGGTTTGACAACCTTGCTCAAAACCAAAGGGGCCAAATCTGGTTATGCATTTGTGCATAACTAAAGGTTACACATAGGGATGTACGCCAGTACGTGGGTCAGTTTTACTGTTTTAGATAAGATTAAGTTGTGTTTTGGGTCGGATTTATTTGAGTTTGACCACCCAAACATTGTATCCAACCAGAATATCACCTGATCGCAACAAACAAATATGTATCCAACCAAAATAATTTATAACTCAATGGTTCTACGAGTAGATCGGTTCAGGTTGACGGTTTGGATCGGCTCCCGAAATAATATGTTCACCCCCTATGTATATATCATATCCTAATTTCCTTGTACCTTTAACGAAACCTACAAAATAGGACTGTTATATTAATGGAAAATTATTGACCATACATGCTACTAATGTGTATTTGGTCAGAAATATTGGAAAAGGTATCTATCTATCTATACAATAAATAAAAGCCAAATGAGAAAACTTGAAGTCCCATTTCAAATTTCCTGCATCTAGAGTGAAAGTAGGAAGGACATTTTGGTCTTCACAATTACTTTTCTTTTATTCATTAAAAAGACATTTACTAGGATTCGAACCATGACCACTTTAAAGAAAAGCAAAGATCATAACCAATCACACTAAGTACATTTATTGTATCTTTTTAAATTAAAAACATATAATCGCAGAGAGGAAAAAACCCTTCTGCCATTTCAAATTCCCTGCTCCAGGTGCGTTTGTAGGAAGGGTAGAATATGGAGTGTCAATTTTTTTTTCTTTTTCCTCTGTGGAATGGGCCAACTTACGTACACATGCGGATTTAAACGGGTCCAGGAGTGTCAATTTTTTTTCTTTAAGTCCTTTTATCTATCTGTGGTGGTAAAATATATATGAAAAGGCAAAAACAATACTCCTTTTTATTGCTAAAAAGAAAAAAAAATTAACAATAAACTAATGCATGAATTCAAATGGGCTAACCGCTAATCATAAAATAAAAGAGTTGAATGGGCCTGACCTACACGAGATTTGCCCATCAAGTAAAACAAATGAACATTATGGGTTTGTCATTCTAAAGCAAGCTATTTTCTCTAGCATATATACATTATGCTATTAATTATATCTTAGTGGCTAAAATATAATGTATTTTAAAGTTATTCAATGGTTCAACCTCGACCAACCCAATTAATCCAATTTTTATCATTTCAAATATATATTATGTAATTATTTGATATCATAATGATTAAATTATAGTGTATATTATAGAGAATCGTTTGGTATTTGTTAGTAAAAAACTAAACAGAAAGATCTATTTGGTTATTTTTAACATTAAAACGATCCTAAACATTTTCAGTTTCCTTTCGAAATTCTATAGTTTTATTCGCGAATCAGTGATGTGCAAATGAAGAATTGCAATCATCTCTTTTCTTTCATTATTTTTTATTTTCAAATAGAAAGTTTAAAAGTAAAGAACAATTAGAGTTTGGCATGGGTCGGTCAAACAGGCTGAATTTCAAGTTTTGGCCCGTTTTGATCAAGTCTAATTTATAATCACATGGTTCCCTGATACCCGATAAAAATATCAAGCCAAACCAGTTTGGCAGGTGAGTCCGTGTTTACCACCATTTTCTAGGGATACAGGAACAGTGGTTCTTATCCCAAATCGTGTTGTCATTCTTGATTTCTTTAGGTTTTATCATGGCTTGGCAAAAAATCAGAAAGCACAATGATGACAAGATGAAAGTTTTATAAAGCAAATTAATCGGCCAACGGGCCAAGTAAAAGCTAGCAACGATTGTGAGATGCTCATTTCCCGAAAACCGGCGGGATAGGCAATTTTTTATTCGATTTTCTGGAATTTGGTTTCTATAAAACTTACTCCACCTCATCATATTACCAGAAACAATATTGTTTCACAAGGTAACAAGTACTTGATTTTGGTTCATAAGGCTGATTTTGATTCGTTGCATCATTTATGTCTCTTTCCTATTAAAATTCACTATTTTTATCACGTGTTTCCCAAATAAAATATACAACAATAAGCTATATACCCCAAATGGTCGGGGGCCAGGCTAGTACCTAATCAGCGCTTTATTATTTGTTTGAGTCCATGCTTCTAATCCATCCCGATCGTTTTCTATCCCTAGCGAACAACCATCAACACTTGCTCCTCCACCCTAGGGGAACAAGGTGTTCACTCGTGCTGCTACCCTCAAGCCGGATAGGTCAGCCGCGGCTCGACACGTCCACCCAAAATTACCGGACTACGACGACTTGACCGCCCGGTTCGCTACTCTGAAAGGGAGGTAAAAGACTTTGAAAATTCCTCACGTTTTTAACCGTCTTCAATCAGAAAATGAGCATTGATCTGGTCCCTCTCTTGCTGCATTTTTTCCTCTCTTCCCCACCACCACTCGGTCTCTTGTCGTTTAAATGTTATACACTGCAATTTCCACTATCTCCCCCACCATAGCTAGGAAGGACGAACGACAACAGCACCGCCATTATTACGATTGTTTCGCCCCCACTGCGTGGAGCCATTGCTTCATCTGCATCATAGATTTGTACTTCCATTCAACCTCCATCCCTATCATTTGTACCAGGGTAGTGATTTCCTTTTAGTCCGTGTGACTGGATGTGACTATCTTTAGGAGTTGCTTTCGACTGATACAATATTAAAAGAAGAAGAAATTATGTGTGAATAATACTGTTTTCTGTTTCTCTTTTTTAAGCCCATTATCAACTAACAGACTGCAGGAGAAGAGTGCAGAAAAGCCGGCAAACGTTTGTTACTAACCTAACTTTGACTGGACGTTAAGGTTTGCCATCTTATTTTCTTATATTCCCACAGGTGATGACGTGTCCCGACGAAGAGCGATGAAAATAACGGAAATGACCTCCCAAAGTCAGCAGATGAGAGACACCCACCGAGGTCAGAACTCAGAAACCTCTCTCAGAATAACCAAGTCCTTTCCCTCTTTTTACTTTTTATTACCACCTTTACGTTCCCCATGCTTTAGAAAAGATTCCCTCCTCCTATGTTTTACAATCTCCCACATTTACTTTCCCTTATCAAAGGTAAATGACTGTTCTTTCCCGCCAATATCTACCCTCCCTCCCTCCACTTCCCTTTTCTTACTGCATTCCCCTCTTCCCTTTTTTTTACTGCACACTTTCTTCCCCTGCTTCCCCTGTCTCCTCCCGAAGTAGCCCGTCAAACCTAGAGAGAGAGAAATGAAGGGAGCTTCCAAGGTGATAATGGGAGCCACGGTGGTGATGGTGGTCGGCCTAGGCTTCGTACTCACCCTAGTTCTAATCCTCCTAGCCGAGCTCTACTGCAACCTCATTCTCCGCCGCCGTCAGCATCGCCAGCAGATGGCGGTGGTTTCCTCCCCTGACACCACCACACCCATCACCACCATTCCCTCTTCCCCTCATTCCAACCTCCTCCACAACTACCACCACTCTTCTCCTTCCCCTCCTCCTCTCGGAGTCCTCCAAGCTCCCAGAAGCTTCCTCTTCCCTGCAGCCAAAGAAGCCAAGCGACTCATCAGCAGCCGCCGCAACAGCCACCACGATGATTCTTGCCGCCAGCTCCACCACGTCCTCGAGCTCTACGATGATTTGTCCACAGCCGCTGCCAGCCCGCAGCAGATCGGGCTCATCCGCACTCCTCCCCCGCCGGCTTCCTACTCCTTTTCCCCTCAAGAAATCCGAGAAATCTCTGTCGTCGTTCCCCCTCCTCACCATCACAATAATCAGACCTCCCCTGTATACAAGGACGCCCATAGCACCGCCGAGCATTTCATTTGCATATCCAATCCCATCTACGACAACAACAAAGGTGTGGATCATCACGGAGGCAGCGGCAGGGACGACACCCCGTTCGAGACCCCGGACTCGTCGCCGTCTCGGCTGGATAGTGGTGGCGACGTTTCGAGCAGCAGCGACGAGGAGATGACGATGACCAAGGCGACGGCCAGTCCTCCCGTGGGAAGTTCCACTCCCCCATTGCAGCCGATGAAGAAGCTGCCGGCAGAAGCGACGTCGGTTTCGCTGAGGGACGTTGTTACTGTTTCAGGGGGTACTGATTCCAATAGTAACAACGGGCTGCTGTCTTCCTCGTCCTCTCGTTCAACTTCTCCGTCGTGGTGATTAATTCAGTCATCAGATTCGCTTTCCCCTTTTTTTCTCCTTTCTTGTTCTTGGTAGCTGTACTGTGGATATAAGCGTGAAAGAAGAGAAAGAAGCGGTATGGGTAAGCTTCCTTTTGTTTTCGGCTTTTTTTAAGCAGAGGCGTGGGTTGTGGTGTCTCGGCCATCCAAGCCCATGTCTGGTGCTTCCTCTAAGTTAGAATCGTTTTTGTTTTAAATATTGTAGCTCGGTAGCTCCTCTGTTTATTTGTCGTTATTCGTTAATGATCTTGTGTAAGCTCCTCTCTTTCTTTTGGTTTTTAACTTGGGGGTAATTTGACCGGTCGTGATGGGCCAATTTTGATAACGCACTCGAGTTATTACGTGCGAGCATGTTGCTACGTTATCGTTGAATCGTGTGCTGGTGTTTTGTCTCGGTCGAATCGACTAGATAATAATTTGTTTACAAAATTGTGACCGAACACAACAGTTATGATATGCTCAAATGCGATCGATCGAACGACTCCGTGCTCCTATTGGTATGGTTCTCATGGAATGGGTGTGAGCATCGGAATTGGGTTATTTGACCGGTTATGGCTATCTACCCGGTTTTAATGATGGGGAAGAATTGAAGGTGGACTGATTTCCTTCTTCTGTTGCTTAGTGGTTACGGAGCAGACAATATTATATAGAAAGAAAAATGGCTCAGATTTTGAGGGGGGTTTGGACTGTAGTGTGAATAACCTGGCAAGGCAATTGTCGCGGTTTGAGGTAATTGATGACCAGTCAGAGGAGTAAGTCAGAACCCTTGCCTCCACAACTCAGTTATGGTCGCTCACATGTCACATCCACTGGGGCTTCAAACAGGCCAAAGAAGCTTCAGTTTTCATTAGCTGTCTCCATTATCATTATCTTTTTTTAATTACCTTCCTTGCTCATGCAGTGCTAAAAGGAAAAATAATAACTAATGTCCATTTATGTGTCTTAGCCTTACTGTTCTTGTCGATATAGTGTATTCCTGTGGACATTAGAGTTAAGGGATCAAAATTTGTAGCAATTAGCAACCGTTTAGTAAAATTTTACGGGATTGGATGTGGTATTTGTCAAACTTATTATTTTGCCAATTTGTCTTTAACCCACCAGTTTTTCTCACTTGAAAAGCCCGTTTGAATGTTTGGTCAACATGCATATGTGGTAGTATTAACATGTATAAAGTTTTATACTTCGTTTTAAGATAATAATGTGTCAAGACACCTTAACTATTAAGTCTTTGTTAGTATTAGACATAATTGAGGTAAGAAAGGACAACCAAATAATGGTTACGAGGAAAATTGGAGAATGAAAGACAAAAATTGGGACAAAAATAATGAGGTGTAGTTTTGGATTTAAAAAAGAAATGAGGATATAATTGGAAAAAAAACATGAACCAATCCTTAATCTTGTTTCCCATACACAAATACTAGATTCAAACCACCCATTACCTTCTTTCCCTTTTCCCACTTACAATAATAGCACGTATCATTAGAGGAATTTGTCGGATAATTTCATCAATCAAGTTATGATCATTGGCATAGTGCATTTATTACCTCAACATGCTAATTAGCGGAATCTCATAAATCAAAGGGGCAGGATCGGGCAGGGATGTTAACAATAACGGATTTGATATTTGTTTTCCATTTCCTCTCGTTCAGTGACAAATCTAATTTACAGTTTAACTCCCAAAAGCATGAGTAGATTTGTATGTCATTCGTCAATCAAACAATCATATACTATGACGGCCTTAATTTTCAACGACCTATTGAGCATAGTTAGTAAATACTCCGTTTAATACACGTATATGTACCCGTACGTATTTTATTCGTTTAGAACTTCCGTATCCGTATTATTGTCAAGCCGTTTCATTTTTTCGCGTTCATTAGATGGCTCCCGTACTAAACACGTATAAAATCCGTATAACACGTTTAATATCCGTATTTAATGAATTAAATTGTAACTTTACTACTATTTATATATTTAGTTATTTTTAAAATAATTAATTTTTATGTTTTTATGACTATTAACGTACTTTTAAACGTAACATTAACTTAAAAATGACGTAAAATACCCTTACATATTTTTCACGTAACTTTCCCGTACCATATTTTTCTAACTATGATATTGTGGACTCGATTTCTGGTATCATATAATACTACACTTTCTCTGCACAAAACACATTTTTAATACATCACAGACAAATGAGATTTGAAGCATGACAAAATATTTGATAATTTCAGTTCTGATTGAATTTTCTTACTTCCTAGTATTAGGAGCAACAGAAGAACATAGCTTCTAGCCTTCTACTAAGAAAATGGACCAAGGTGCAAACTTGGTTTTATATTTTGACTGGAAGACAAAACACCACCAATTTGATAGGCTTAGAGCCCAAACCTTTTTCTCGGGTCATCGTCACCTGAGGCCCTTGTTTATTGGGATTGGATCTGATTGCCCACTAACCAGCTACCAGCTGAAACACTATACTATACTCTTGCTCCCATTCCGAACAATAATTTCTTTTCTTTTTTTGGTGGGAATCGGAACAATAATTTTAATTATGAATGAATGATAATGGATCAATAGCTAAGATGTCTAGGCCCAAGACTTGTTGCCAGTCTTTCAATAGGTATGCAAACAAAGGGCTGGTAAACGGTTATCTCGTTAATGGGGTAACCGATAACCAAACAGGACCTGGTGCTTAACGGTTACACCGATAACCAATTAAATAGCAAACGGTCAGTTTTCGGTAGCAAAATTTAGCTAATAACTAACCGATGGTTAAACGGTTAACCGACTAACTGATTACGATCATCCTCATAGTTAGGGTCTAACATAATAGACCTACCTACATGAGCCGCAAACATAGGCCAAAAATAATGGAGTGTTTGAAGGCTTACAAGATCCATTGCCTATCCTAATTGTAATAGCGACTTAGACTCAAATGAGAATAATTTAAAGGAAGAGTTTTATAATGAGCACACTAGAAAGTTAGAATTGCGCACAGTTGCTCGACAACAATCAGTAACATTAAACTTCCATGTAATTTTGTGGGGTTTACGAGTTGAGTAATTGTTTCTTGGTCTCTTATCGTCGTATGCTTCTTTAATAAAGTTTGACCGTAGAATGGTATTAATGTGTACTTCTGTTGAGATTGACTTGATTATGTATTGATATATATCTATGTTAAATTATTGGGTATGCCTATGGTGACATGCATGTCACCGTAACTTGCACTTTTAGGTTGACCTCATATAGGATTAGGTCAAACTAATATGCACTTTTAGGCCCACCTCATACAGGATTAGGTTGACCTAATATGCCGTTTCAGTTTTGTGAGGTTCCCGAATACACTGATGTGGGAACCCTGATGACTTATCACGGTCGACCTTTAAAATGTAGCGGTCGTCCGTTTGTAGTTAAGTTGTCATTGTTGGTCGACCACAATAAAACATCAGTCGCCCTTTTCATTGGCGTCAGAAGCAAAATGGTCGACCGTAAAGGTATATAGGTCGACCACTTGATGGCAGTCATTAACAAAATGGTCGACCATTTACAGAAAGATGTCGACCAGATAGAAGAGAAGTGTTGTATACATTTATCCATCATCATTTGACGTAAAATGAAGATCAAGTGTTGGTTTCGCGGTCGACCTAATCCGGTACGAGGTCGACCGAATACAAGAAAATCAACCTATGCCCTACGTCTTTTTTGCTTATGTATGTCGATGTGGGTGGTTCTTTTGCTCGTACAAATTACGTTTCAAACCAACAGAATCAGTCATAAATAATGATAACAAGGACTCATAACTCCCACGTGGTCGACCACTTCAATCACGTACAGTAGCAATCGCAAAGGATCTTCTTCACAAAAGCTCTAACCGTAAAAAAAACCTAATTCAGAGTTTCGGTGGCGGTGAAGGTGACACATATTCGTATTTATAGATCTGTAGGATGAGAATGAGTCGAATTAAGTGGTAGATAAGTTAGGGTTACCTTTCTGGTGTTGGAATGCTTATCCAATACGGTTACGGTGTGCACGCGGTCGAACTCAGTTAATCAAAATGGTCGGCCTATGAGGTATTTGGGTCGACCTTTCATTCTGTTCGCTTCCCAAAGAGGTCGACCATTTGTTATAAAAGGTCAACCGCGTCGTTGAACCTCACAAAACTGTACGACATATTAGGTCGACCTAATCCTATATAAGGTCGACCTAAAAGTGCAGATTAGGTCGACCTAGTGCTATATAAGGTCGACCTAAAAGTGCATATTAGGTCGACCTAATCCTATATGAGGTCGACCTAAAAGTGCAAGTTACCGTGACATGCATGTCACGTAGCAAAGTCCTAAATTATTTTTTATTCAATTATAACAACTAAAGAAAAAAACACATGCCTATGTATGAAAAAATATATAAAATGTCACTATTGAAAAAAGGAGGTGTTTTGGTGGTTAGGTTATCGATCGGTTATTTTGGTATAACATTGCCTAATCACTTGATTAACAGTTATCCGGTTAACCGAAAAAATAACTGAGAACCGACTATAAGGTTACGGTTAACCGACTAATTTAAATGGTGCGGTTAACGGTAAACACAAAGTGCTTAATGATTAATCAATAACCGACTAAACGATTCCGGTTATAACCGAATCGAACCAATTATCAGCCGTAGCAACAAATCTCATTATCCCACCTAAACTAGTTTGGATTTTATCCCACGTGCAATGACTAGTCAACTTGTCTAATAACTAATATGATAATTGTTTTTTTGAGTTAATCCATAACCCAACCGCATCCATCAACCACACATTTAACCCATCCGAAGAAAGAATATGGATGGATAGTGCTTAGGAATGGAAAATGTTTGGTTGGACGATTTTTAGGCTAAAATTCACCTAACCATGGGATTAGATAGAGTCACAACCCCTTTGGGTTGTGAGTTTCGCTTCCCTCTTTACAGTCGTCCTTCCTCCTTCCTCGTGATCTTACGGTC